ATGACCGTTTTCGAGCGCGACAGCAAACGTGTTCATCTGAAAACACGTCACTGATACTCAATCGAGCACGCCCAAAAATTGAATTCTACTAACAGCGTTATCGTCATTAATCAACAACAACCACGTGTTCTTAAGGTTTGTCCTGAACTTGAACGTCACTTCAACTTCAAGGTTCAAACCGATGCCAGTGAACTTTACAGATCCACCCGGACGGTCGAACGAAACGACTCGTTTGGGCTGAAATATCGTCCATTAGCAAATTATATCATGCGTTTCAACCGCACAGCGGATACCTTATCAGGACAATTCTGCTCAACGAAAACAGCTTTTACGTTTTTGTTCAAGTTCACGGCGTTTCCATTTATCTGCATTCGGTCAATACAGCCATAAAAGCCCTGTCGTATCACCGGAACACTAAAGAGGCATTTAGTCCAGGTATTAATGGTTTCAACAAAACGAGTTACTTCTCGAAAGCCGGTATATTTGGCAATCCGCCCACGTAGTACTCGTCAGTGACGTCTAGGTGTGCCATGTCACCAGGGGACATACCTTCAATCGCTAAAAACCAAATTGCATCAGCATCAGATCAAACTTTATCTTTCTCGGCGTGGCCTGCTATGACTACACGCACTTTCCCACATGTCGACAATGAGTTTCGCTTCCTTCGAAGTTCGCTGAGCGAGAACTCGGTGAACAGCACCATCATTGTAGCGTCGAGGAGTAACCAGAACGGCCGCACCGGAGCCGAGATTGAAATGAAGTCGCACTTGTCCGTTTTTCAGTTCAATAGCGAAATAGTCTCGCTAAATCATAACACCATAAGCATTATTCGAAAGGCATATCGCTTTTCCTACGTCTTTGCCGATGAAGAAAATGAGACCAGTCGAAGAGAAAGTCTTGAAGTGTAACACAACGGTAGTTTCTTCCCTAGGATTCCACAGGTCGCGCTTCATAATAATGTAACCGTTACCCGTCAGACTCACGCCTAAAACAAACGGCACAGAGAAGGTCGTATAATACATGATGACTGCAAGATCGCAGGCCGTGCGAGGTACAACCGCGGTCATTTACCTGACGTCGCGGATACAGTTTTCAGCTCGTCGCGTTCCCTTGCTCCTTTAACGTTTTTCAAGCCATCGAGCTCGAAGTTCCACAAGGCTCGATATTCACCGTGGAAAATTAAATCTTCTATCTTCCCCACAAAGTGTCGGTTTGACACTCCATCTGGTAACTAAGCGTAGAGTGAACATTAGAAAACACATAGGCCAGCGGTAAGTATGTACAAACCTGAACGGACGATGGCACGCCGCCAACAAAAATCTTACTAGCATTTTGAATTAAGTTCAAGATCGAGGTAGATCCCCTGCTGAACACTTCTGTTTTATCATCCTTTTGGCCTTCGGTGGTAATGGTCAAGGTAGCCAATTTGCCTATTCTTTCGACAGTAACTTGATGCCACCGACTGTCAGCCACGAATCTACGTTAACAAATATTTGTCAATGCAGCGACTAAGTGAATGCATACGATTCTTACTGGCTTCCAAATACAATCGTTTCGCCAGTGCCAAGATCATAAATAAGCTTAACTTTTCCCTCGTTGACTTCGAGCGCGAGGTAGTCATCGCTTGGAAGCGCCTTCAACTTTGAGGCGGTTCCTTTTTCGTTACCAACAAAGAATAACAACCCGTTTGGCTCTTCCGTGTTAAAGAAAAGCGATATAAGGGACTGAGTAGCAATTCGATTGATATTATCAGGATTACGAAGATGCAAGCTGCTATTGTTGAAGAAATTGGCGCCAACTTTCACCTGCAAAACGCGGCCTGTGTTTCAGTGTGTGCATTGTGAAATCAAGTTTTTACCTTATTCGCAAGATTCCTAGCGTGTGCCAATTTTTCTCTAAGCAGCACCAATCCACTTTCGATTGAGTTCATCGAGGAAAGCGACTTTACATACGAATTACGCAAAATTGTAAGATTCGACAGCAGTGCTGGTACAGTGCGACTGATCTGATCAATCTAAATGAAACGACAGCATTACCTCAATTCGGCATGTTTCATTTAGTTCAGACTGAGACTATAAGTTCAGGCTAAAGTTAGCTTCAAAGGTCTGCTGAAACGAAAAATCATCGTTGGTGTATGGTTAGCGAATAACTCAAAATAGGAATATCGCGGGGTGGAATCAATTCGATTTGGCAGAAAACTGTGCGCCGTTCTTAGCACGCCTATCCTCAAAAATAGTGCACTCCTTAGAGATCAAAGAAATAAAAAACATGCCACACCCTAAGCTGCGTGAAAAGGACGTTCCTGAAGATGGCACTCAACACGTGAAAGTGTAATAGTGATGAACCTCACAGTTGCTACAAAATTGCCTTTCCTTGATTTTTACGATCATAAACAACGGAACTTTTAAAACGCCTAATGTTAACGGAAATTCGACATAACTCTGCACTACGTGCGTAATTTTTCGATGAAGATACAATTTTTATACAGTGAATTTTGATCGATAGACCAGTAACCAAAAGCATTAATACTAACTGAGAAAAGTTTGCAATGAATATTTCAGCTGTAAAGAATCCCTCGGGGTAAAACTCAACCTAACATGCTACACAAATATACGTTATTGAGAGCATAAATCAAACTGATTTGCCATCTAGCAAACTGGGTCCCCAACATCATGTACTTAATGACCAACTGCGGAGAATGTTTTTCAACACTAATAAAGTTATTTACGGGCAAGAGTGCGTAGTTCTGATGGGCCCATCGGTCTGTGTAACAATTATGTAAATTTTACATGGAATATTTTGTAACATAAGGATTTCCGATTTTCCCGCCCACATAGTCCCTTTATATCACTGCTACATTACGATAACCTTGTATTCCATGTTAAAGAAACCTCTTTCCCGTTTCATAGCTGATTTTAGAAATTCTTCACGCATCAGTAACCATCTGAGCTTAATCTAGCATCACGTTCAAAAAAGTGACGTTGCCCTTCTCTGACGTCGTACTTAAGCGTAAAATTTATCAGTTCTCCTCTTACGCAATAGGGTGTAATTATCGTAATCACATCCATTAAAATAACCTATTTAAATCTGACTTTCTGCGCTACCAAAACAGATTTTGTTATTGTTTTTAAACGAATACGATTCAAGAGACTTAAGTAATGTGACACTGCTAGAAAAATTTGGAATTCTTTGTAATGTCTGTTCAAATAACGGTTATTCTGCCAATTTAACGGAATCCACAATTAAGCATCTTATATAAGACCTCTCAAAATGAATTTTAATAATCGGTTTACCATTCTTACCTTCCATAAAATCTTTAAACAAATGGTTACGCATTAAAACATAATTATGCATTTATTGACAGTAATGCATCAGTTACGATTAGATCAAACAGATTAGATCAAATTTTTTGTCAAAGAATCTTAACACACCTTAGCCAATAAGTTCAAACTGTTTATGGTTGTAACGCTTCTTCTGATAATTATAAAGCAGGTAAATTATACTGTTGCCTCTCTGAATGTACAATTATCATGTTTCTAAACGGTTCTGAGATTTAGTTTCCTCGACTAACACCACTAAAAGATGCTCAAAACTTTTGCTCATGCCGCTGTTTCATGTTTATGTTATGTTTTAGGCCAAGCTACATTGGACTTCTACCGTGCGCATCTAAACCCAGTTAAATCATAAATCATGATCTAGTTTAAACTATCTATTCCCGTAAACCTCCTTTGGATGCATTTCGGTGGTAGTTATAACACGATCAGTTAACCCCAGTTCATGCTCCAAGAGAAAATGCATGAATCCTGCTTAGGGTCATTTGCCTTTCAACATGATGCAGATAGGCAGAAAAGTGAATACTACAAACGTACTAGAATAAAACAAGAGATACCATGATGCCCTTTGCATAAACTATAGATATTCCTTCAAAAAATAAGTTG